CTCCTCCTCCTCCTCCTCTTCTTCTTCTTCTTCTTCTTCTTCTTCTTCTTCGAGATAGGGTCTTGCTATGTTGACCCAGGCTAACCTTGAACTTATAATCCTCTTGTTTCAGTTTCCTAAATAGTTAGAACTATAGGCACATGCCCACTGCGCTCATCTTAATAGCTTCTGGATGCATGAATGTAGGTGCTCAGAAAATGCTACCTGTAGCATAACTGATTGACTGGTATTCCTGCCTGGAATGCTGAAATATAGAGACTTCTCATGCAAAAAAAAGATGTTGGCCTTTTCGCTGGAGCCACATTGGCAAAATGACAAATACAAAGGGAAAGGAGAAGCCAGGCATAGTGGTGCATCCCAGTACTTGGGAGGCAGAGGCAGGCAGATCTCTGTGAGTTTGAGGCCAGCCTGGTCTACACAGTGAGTTCCAGGCCAACTGGGGCTAGAGAGACCCTGTCTCAAAAAGACCAAAAAAAACAAACAAACAAACAAAAAACAAAAGGGAAAGAAGAGAGGCACCCGTTGTATGTTCTCTAGGTCTTTTAGAAACAGAGAGTTTGTTCCTTTGGCCACATCTATGTAAGACTACAAGCAGCATGATACTGCAGGCATCAAGGGAATGGGTACTGTTCAAAAAGGAATGCTCCATAAATGTTACCATGACAAAAGTGCTAGTTTGCAGTGTCACTCAGCATGTTGCTGGCATTGTTGTAAACAAGCAAGTTATGGGCAAGGTTCTTGCCAAGAGAATTAATTTGCATACTGAGCTCATTAAACACATTAAAAGCCAAGAAATGGGTGAAGGAAAACAATCAGGCAAAAAAAGGAAGCCAAAGAGAAAGGAACCTGAGTCGCACACTTTGTGAGAACTAAAGGAAGGAGCCTATGCTGTTGGAGCCTATTCTCTATGAATTCATGACTTAATGTACAAGAAGAAATAAAAGGCCTAGACTTAAAAAAAAAAAAAAAAGATGTTGAGGGCTGAGTGTGGTGGTACATGTCTTTAATCTCAGCATTCAGGAGGCAGATGCAGAGGGATCTCTGTGAGATCAAGGCCAGCCTGGTCTATATAGTGAGTTCCAGGTCAGCTGGTTACAGAGAAACCCTGTCTCAAAGAACAACAACCACAAAAAAAAAAAAAAATGTTGAAACTCATGCATATATTCTCCCTTCTCTGAATGACAATGTTTCCTGCCCCTCCTCTTTCCTAGAAGATCAGCTGTCCAGTAAACAGTGATGGATATTCTAAAGGAAAATCCTAGGGTTGGACAATTGATAGAACACTAGAGTAGCTCCCAGTGTCTGACACCAAGGCCTACAGCTGGCCAAGAGGCACACTATACTCAGTGCTTACTATAAGATTCACAGGATCACCTTGGGGCTCAGCTCCAAACCAGGGCAGAATTCAAGAGGGTAGTTGTCAGGGCTGTGTATCTAACAAGATAGGAGAGGGCAGTATCTAACAAGATAGGAGAGGGCAGCCATCTCTGCCAAACTCCTCCACAAATGATATCCTGAGATGCTTATACGCGCATAGTCTAGCATTACCTGCTAAGATGAACTGCAATTTAGAGGCATCAGGTATGGCAATACGATCGATGTACTCAGGATCCAGGTATTTCATCAGGTCTTCAACTAGAAAAGTAGCAAGATGGAAAATAAAACAGAGTTGGGACTGGAACCCTGTCTTATAAAGGGAGTTTGAGGGCTGGTTAGATAGCTGAGCAGGTAAAGGCACTTGCCCACCAAGCCTGACCTGAGTTCAATCCCTGGCATCTACGGTGGAAGGAGAGAAATGACTCCCACAAGTTATCCTCTGATCTCCACATGCATTCCATGAAATGCATCTACCCACACACATGCATGTACATAAATAAAGGAAGTCTGGGGAGTGCTCATCCTTGGGGAAAGCCTTGAATGACAGGCTAACCCCTACAGTGCCCAATTAGCAGGCATCCACCAGATTCCCTAGTCCACTCTCGAGATTCTCCAATATCACCACCTGCTGGCTGACATCATGCAACAACTGGAAACAGTTGTTGCTACCGCTCTGGGCTCCCCCACTATTCCCATGGACCTATTCTCACTAAGCTAAAAGTTACTTTTCTTCCTCAAGGCCACTCAAACAAGCCAGGGCTTTATCTGATTTCTAATTACTGACCAAGTCACTAGCTATAATAATTTAAAAGCCTTGGCTGAACCAGTGCTGAAGCTCTCAATGATTAATTTCTTTCCTGCCTCTTAACCATACCTACGGAAATGTCATACCAGATTCTTCTCCTCCACAAGGGAAGCTTGGAGGAAGAGCTCTCACCCACAACTAAGGACACTGTATATGGTCTAGGGATTTATCTACAAGGTAGAAGAACACACTCAAGCTCACTACTTCAGCAGTAACATGCCTTCATATTCTATCCCGAAAGGGTGTTCCAGTGACCTATTGGCTGAAGTATTGGCTGAAGGGCAGGATCAGGTTCCGGGGCACGTGGGCATGGGAAGCAGTGCAAATATGGACCCAATGGAAGTACTTACTCTTTTTGTACAGAATCTTCACCCTCTCTCTCTTGCTGGCAATGTTTCCTAGAGCCACCTGAACCTTGACCAAACCATCAGCCACCTGAAAAGAAATAGAGGTTAATTCCAAGGTAGGCTATTTGGCTCAGACTTGGGAAAAATAAGGAAACCTCTTTTCTCTAGAATTTCAAACCTCTGAATTCCAATAATTTAGGCTGGTCCCCTTCTGTTGTATTATAGAAGATGCAGCCTCACCTTCAGGAACTCCTTAATGTAAAAGGAGAAGGAATCATGTATTCCTTGGGGAGTTTGACATTTGATTGGGGAGGTAACGAACTAATTTTTGGTTCATGGGGTACCTATATATACTATATAGTACCTGGTTCCTAACCTGGGTTTGGGCATGAAATATGCAAATATCCTCACCCAGATCTTCATTATCTCATGGCTAGAGAACAGACTGGCTGGCCTACCTCTATCCCCATCCTCTCTTCATCAACTCTAGTATGGGAGAGGGAAGAATCTCTAAGATTTGGATCCTGTATTAGAGAGTATAGAAGAAAATCAGTTTAGGGGAGAGGTATGGTACAGGTAAGAACATATGATTTCAAGTTTGAGATGTTGTTAGATATCCAAGCGGAAAAGACCAGTAGAGAAACATAAATCACATTCTCAGAAGGGAAAATGTGGAACAGAGATATATATGGATGACATAATGACAGGTAACTATAAAACTATGAAAGTGAATGAGCCTGCCTAGGATTTAAGAGTACAATATTCTGTGGCTAGAAATGGCTCAGGAGTTAAGAGTATGTACTGCTCTTGCAGAGGACCTAGATTTAATTCCAAGCACCCACACTGAGCAGTTCACAATCATCTGTAACTCCAGCTCCAGTGGGTCTAATGTCTTCCTGTGGATCACCCAAGTAAAAGCTGGGCAGGGGTATGTGCACCTGTAACCCTAGCACTGAGTAGGGCAGGGAGGCAGGAGACTGGCAGATCCCTGGAGTTCACCGACCAGCCAGAGGGAATTAGTCAGCTCTGGGTTCAGCGAGAGACCCCAAAGAATGTGGAGAACACCTGAGGAAGACACCTGATCCACAAGCACAGTACTCACATGTACACACACACATACACACACACACACAGAGAGAGAGAGAGAGAGAGAGAGAGAGAGAGAGAGAGAGAATTAAAAGAAAAATAAAATCTTTTTAAAAAAGAGAGAGAGCTAGGCGTGGTGGTGCTTTCCTTTAAACCCAGCAGTTTGGAGGGAGAGGCAGACGGATCTCTGTGAGTTCAAGGCCAGCCTGTTCTACAAAGCAAGTACCAGACCATCTGGGGCTACAGGGAGACCTTGTCTCAAAAAGATAGATGATAGATAGATAGATAGATAGATAGATAGGCTAAGATGGTTCAGCAATTAAGAGTGCTTACTGCTCTTGCAGAGAACCTCAGTTCAATTCTCAACACCCACATCCAGTAGCTCACAATAGCCTATAACTTTAGCTCCAGGGGATCCAAAGCCTCTGGCCTTGATGGGCATGTACACGCATGTGCATATACCCAGACACACAGAGATACATAATTTAAAATTTTTAAATAAATTGAAAAGAGTATAATATTCTAAAATTAAGAGGGGTAAACTAGAGGGGGGCTATGGAACTGAATGGAGTTCACTCAGGTTTTTTGGTAGAGTGAAGAGCCCTAATATTCAAGGGACAAATATATGGGGAAGGCAAATAAGACTGATAGTAGCAGCCAGAGATAAAAGGAAAGTCAGGAGGGTTGGAGTCATAGATACCAAAGGGAGAAAGTGTTTTGAGAAAATGGGTCTCAACAGGAACACAATCTGCTAGTGACAGTTTCACAGGAAGTACACAGACATCATTATCTTTGATGTACTCAGATCTAGTACATTCCTGACTCACCACCAGAAGCTCTTCACTAAATGGTTTTCCCATTGTAGAAGAGGATTGAGGGCGCCTAAGCTTATTGTCAAAATTCAGTCACTAATGTGACTGTCTACATCTGAACACCAAAGACTCAATCCCTAACCTTCCTTAACTAGGCCTTCTCAGACCTCATGTCTTACCACTTGAACCTTCTTTATCCACCCCTGCTCTGCCTCTTCTAGGGCCCTAGGTCCGCCTGCCCAATTCATTTGGCAATTAATTACACAAGCCTCCAGGATGGCACTCCATTGCGGACTTCAGCTCTTAATGAAACTCTCATTAGTCAGAGTGTACCAGGTCCTCAACTAATCTGAGAGCATAGGGGCGGAGTCTTAAAGTTGTCACTGAGCCCATCTCAAACAGGCCTAACCATCTGCTACCCGCCCCCAATCCCAATTCCCTTGAACACGGACACCGAGAGTCCAATTCCAGGAGGTCCCGGATCTCCGTTATTTCAAAGGCTGAGCTGCGGACGACCCGAGGCGCCGATGTCTTCATCCCGAGGGCAGGGAAGGTGCACCGCTCTTACCCAGTTACAGAGAGAGACCACGCGACCAGACCGCTCACCTTCCTGGAGCCGCGAGTCCCGCCCGGCCCATACACCCAGCGCTCCAGCTCCTCCACCCGGGCCTGTAGCCGAGGGATATCTGTTAGGGCCGCCATCATTTCTGCGGCCCCGCCTCAGCCCAACAGAAGGTGGGACTTCCGCCCAAATAGAAGGTTGACCAATCCGAACGCATCGGAGGTCCTAGACCGGAAGTGAAGTCACGACGCAGCCTTCCAATGTTGGAAGTGACCAGACCAGCTGTCAAAAGCGCTCTGGTTACCTAGGTGACGTTCTGGGTCCTGTTTTTCAGGCCTGGTGGTCAAGACTTTCGGTCTTCTCTCTCTCTCTCTTTTTTTTTTTTTTTGAGACAGGGTCTCCATGTAGCCCCAGCTGACCTGGAACTCACTATGTAGACTAGGCTGGCCTCAACCGCACAGAGATCCGCCTGCCTCTGCCTCCCAAGTGCTGGGATTAAAGGCGTGCGCCACCACGCCCGGCGACTTTCGGTCTTCTAATTCTAGGACACCAGAGTTTTTTCCACCCCATTCCCTGAGGTTGCACGTGTAATTACACCCACTATTCCAAAATAGGTTCATTCACATAGATCAGGACCATAAATTTTTGGAGTCTCTTAACATTTAAGAGACTAAAGTGAATTGTCTAAGGCCACCCAGCACTATCGCGACATAATCGGAACCTAGATTCAGGCAGTCTGATTTAAGAGACCATGCTCTGTGTGATAGCACAAACCTGCAATCCTAGTTTTAGGAAAAAAGAGGCAGGAGGATCACTGCAAATTTGAAATCAGCTTGGTCTACATAGCGAGATCCAAGCCAGCCAGTGAACATGCACACAGTGAGAGCCCGTTTAAAAAAATAAAACATGCTCTTCTACTCTCTCGGAACTTTGCTATTCTGCCTTCTGCTTGGATAGCTCAATGTAGTCATGTACCCCTCGCCTCCCAGACCCAAAGAAGAGAAGGCACTGGAGACGGAGGGAGTACAGCTTTATTTTCCAGATGCGACCTGAGAGATGTCCTCACACCATCCAAATCCAGTCTTCACCTGCCTCCTGAAGAGAAGCAGAGTTGACTCAGAGAAGTGGGGTGCCAAAGACGACATTGATACAGGGGTCACATGAGGAGATGACAGGGGTTGCTGGGGGAAGAATTCTTTGGTAGATGCTGCTGGAGTTGGCCAGGGAGGTGGTGCCCTACTTTTACAATGAGGTAGGTGGAACATCATAAGAAATCCCTTTGGAGTGGAGGTGGCATGCTGTCATCTCCCAGGACTGGGTCCCACAGTGGGCATCCTGGAAGAATCAAGGTGGGAGGGCCCCTCTCCCCTCAACAATGATGCTGGGGCTCGTGGTTCTCAGTAGGTGCTCTCAAGGCAAAGTGCTGGAAGGGGGCCCTGTAGAGGGTGGGGGTGGAGGATTGGTTGGAACCAGGGAAGCTGGCACAGGCTGGCGGCGAGCAAAGAGGATGCCTGTCAAAGGAGTAAAGAGAGGAGCAAAATGCAAATATAAGCAGGGGAGGCTGGGAAATAGTGTCCAGATTCTTAAGAGAACCATACACATCCTTCGTCATGAACCAATGATGAAAATTCCCTCTGGTCAGTAAGAAGCTCCTATTGCCAATGCAGATACCCCCAAGCAGGTAAACAAGAAACACTAACACTAACACAAAGACCCAAGACAGAGCAGACACCCCATGGTAAACATGCCACACAGGTCATGCTTTGGACCCCACGCCATGGAGACATTCCCTTAACCCAGGCCAGTGTAACAATCTCTGGACCTCCATGCAAGTTTAGATATCCCTGAACTTCATGCTAGTAAAGAAAATCTAAAATCCTCATGCCAGTCTAAATCCCAACTCCATGCCAGTGTAGACAGCCTATAGTACCCATACCAGTGTAGACCACCCCATTGATCTCTAGTGCCATGTTGATACTGCTGATGCCACTGCCTGCCAGATTGAGGGCCCCATCCAACCGCTCTTCTGTCCAAGAGAAGGCAGGAGAATCACATTTTGGGAAATCAGACTTCAAACTTAGATTCCTCCCTTACTCCTATAAATAGATTTTCTATCTAATTCACTTGAACCCCACACCTGCAAACATATATATATATATATTTAAAGGGAGGGAGGGAGAGAGGGGGAGAGGGGGAGAGAGAGACTGTGCCACCACCAACACCCTCAGGTGAAGAGTCTAGCTTCCCTCAGTACACAAGCTCAAAGCTCAAAGTCATTCACTAACAAGCCCTTCCTCACCCCTCAGGGGAACCTTGCCACGAGGCAGGAAACTGGGGGGTGCACCAAGTCGAGGTGGGTCCATGGGGCCCATCAGCACAGCCCTCTTCTCCGGAGGCTCCTCTGGTGCCAACTTCTCTCGTCCAGGCCCCAAGGCCAAGTCAACAGGTAGTGTTGGACGAGGGGTTCGAATTCCACTTTCCTCTGGAAAAAAAAAAAAAAAAAAAAAAAAAAAAAAAAAAAAAAAAAAAAAAAAAAAAAAAAAAAAAAAAAGGTCATTCAGCTCTTCTGACCCAAGCAACTTGTGTTTGCAATTGATTTTCCTCTAGATGTGGAACCAAAAGAGGTCATACAGACTGACAAACTAGGCTCAGTCTCTTCTAGCCAGACCTTCAGCCTAGAAACGTTAACGATATAGACCCTAAAAGGGCCAGCATGTAAATCTGGGATGGTTTAAGTAAAAGAATGTGACTTTTATTTGCTTTTGATTATTAAGCAACCTAAGTAACAGGAGGAATAAACCACATCCAAATGGGGGCCCTATGTGGGCAGTTGTGAAATAAAGAAAGCTATGGATAAAGGACCTTCTCCTGAGTTTCAGTCCCCACACAGGAGAGACACATAGACTAGACAGGTCTCAGGGCTTTATTGACCTTAAAGCTCAGAATCTCTAATTTCGTGATTCCAAAACCTCAGAGTCCCATCAGATCTTGCTGCTCCCATATCGCAAAGCCTCCCACACCCGAGTCCCTACATATTAATAGTTCCTGTGTCTCAGTGCTTGCCCTCCCTCGAACTCCTTCTCCCTCGCACCTTTCTTAATAGGGTTTGGACCCAGCTGAGCGCATGCGTGCACAGGCAAGCCAGCGGTGGAACCCTGGGTGGGACCAGGACCCGGCGGGGGTGCGACCGGGGAGGGGCCAGGACCCGAAGCCAGGCCTGGAGCGCCCCGAGGGGTCGGCCCCACTAAGCCGAAGAGCGGGACGGCGGTGTAAGCCTGCCGACGGCCCTCGCGCCGATTGCTGTCTATGGCAGCCTGGAGCTCCCCCGGGGAACTGAGCGCCCGCGTCTCGCACTCATACGGGTACAAATACTTCATGTACCTAAGGACGGACGGAGACACGGGGATCAAATCCCCAGCCCAGCGAATGGAATCCCGCCCCCGCTCCTCCCTGCACACCCATGCCCCACGCCAGCCCCGCGTGCCCTGCCCTTCTGCCCACGCGGGCCACTGTCCTCACTGGGTGCGCAGAGTGAAGGCGGCAGAAGTGATGGTGGTGGGCAAACTGAGGCCGCGTGTGACCTCTCGCCACACTTTTCGGTTGATGACTTCCACCAGGCCACCCTTGGCGGTCACCAGGCGAAACAAAGCATACAGGTCCAGCACCTGTTTGGCCATGATGGGCACGCGGTTCACTGGCGTCCCTGGTAGGGAATGGGTAGAAAGTCAGGACAGTAAGAGTAAGGCCCTGTTTGTGGTCATCTCCGGGGACTGAAGGATATCTCCATGAGGCTTGAGAAAGGGCAGGATCCATGAAGAAAGATTTAGGGTAGGGGTATGGGGTGGGAGGGGGTTGGTTACAGGCTGAGCCCCCAGGACCATCATAGTAGGAAGGACAGGAGATTAAGACCAAAAAATCAGCAAACAGCCTGCAAAGGGCCAGAAGGTAAATATTTAGGCCTCGTGGGCCAAAGGATATATGTCACAATTACCAAACTCTGCAATTGTATCTGGAGAGCAGCCTTGGAAGACAATAAAAGGGATGGGCATGACTGGGTTCCAATAAAACTTTATTTACAGGCCCTGAAATTACAATTTCACAGTCTGTAAATATTACATCTGTTTTAATTCTATTTTCCAAATATGTAAAAATGTAAGTCATTCTAATCTACCAGGCAGCTGGATTTAGCCTGAAAGACTGTTTGCTGACCGCTGGATGGATTGTAAGGACTTCCATATAGTGCTGAAGAGTAATACTACCCAAGCAGCAGCCCCCAATGGCTGTGCTTGATCAGGGGACAGCAAGCACAGCTCCTGCCTGGGTCCACCATCTCTGCAGCCTGCACCACCCCCGCCAGCCAGTCCTGACAAAGGGGCCTGTCTGACCTGAGCGATGGGCCCCAGTTAATTCCTTACCGATCTCGTCCCCTTCCATCGCTGCCTTTGGACCCGAACAATTAGCTGCGGCCTGATTAATGGGGGGAAATTATCGGCCCCGTGAGACCTCCTCCCCCTGCAGCTGAGCAGAGGGAGGCAGAGCTGGGGGTGTAGGCAGTGCAGAGATCCTTTCAGACCACCCTACCCCATATTAGCAGAGAGAAGGACCCCAGGTCCTAGTGTTCCTAAAGTGGGAACACTAGGACCACAGTGAAGAAGCCTCCTTGGGGAGCAAGAAGACCAGGGACTCCCACCCAGAATCCTTGGGAAGAAGGGAACCAGAAAGAGCTGCTGAGCCTTTGGTGGGGGCCTGGGGAGACTTGGGCCAGAAGCTGTATTGGGAGGGGGGGCAGTGCAGCCAGTTAATTAGCAGCTTATCAGGCTGCGCTCTGAGTGAGTTAATTAGCTTTGTAGAGAGAGATAATGAGTCAGTGCTCAGTCCCATGAATCTGGGGAGAAGTGGAAGTGATGGACTGCTGCCCACCCTCATCCCCTGCTGGACCCTTCTTGCATTCTTCCAGCACTGAGATTTTTCCGGAAAGGAATTCCTTCTCCACTGCCCAACTCACACGGCCCCAGCACATCCTTTGGGAAAGTCTCAGTCTAATCCTATTCCTTCCTGCTGTAGGACACAAAAAGAATCTCCTGGCCTAAAGCAAAAGACAATTGAGGAGAGACAAGGCTGAAGAAAGGGTACAACACAGAACCAAGGCATTCCCGGTCCTAAGTGCTGAGACCCTGTCTCAAGCTGGTGCCCACTACTTCCCCCTCACCCTCCCAATTGATTCCATACTCAACTGCCTGTGGGCTGGCCACTAATTAATCCCTAGTGGGGAAGGGGGCAGGGTCAGAGGTTAAAGACACTATTGAAGGCCCAAAGGATAGGTGCCACCAACCTCAGGCCTCTCCTGGGAAGACCTCACCTGGGGACTACATCCTAGGGTCTCCCTTCTTCAAATCTGGTTAAGCGGGGGAAATTCCAGGGTACTTCCCCAAATCACCGTACTCACCCCTCTTCTGCATGAAGCTGAACAGGTCATCCAGAAATTCCTTCCTCTTAGGGTCTGCATCGAGCTCATACAGCTGGGGAAGGACCAAGATTATTCTTCAACTCCACTGATCCCCTTCCTCCTGGAGCCCCAATTCACATGGTACAACAGTCCTTGGTGAAGGGGGTGAGTGGGATCTGAATGTGGACTCCCTGCAGCAGGCCCATCCCCAGGAGTAGGCAGAGCACCTTTCTCTAATATGCTCAAGAGATCTTGGTAGTGGTGCCTGAGGCAGCTCACACTCTGCATCAGGAAAATATGGGGAGATAGGAAGCAGGAAACGGCTTCATTGGGTCAGTCCCCAGGACACAGTGTGGACACTGAAGAGAACATTCAGAGCCCTAGGAAGGAGCCAGGCCGGGGCTGTGCTCCACAAGGAGAAGGCTGCCATGGATCTGGGGCATTTGTTCATTCCCATTCATCTGTACAAGGGCTTCATGCAGTTCATATCCTTGTGGGCCAGGTCTAGGGTGAGTGAGGAGCAGGGACGATGCTTGGGAGATCCTGATAGGCACCTTCTGGTCTGATTTCTTTCCAGAGGTAGTAACAGTGCCTACTACAGAAGCTGTCACATAGGTACTGGCCATGTGCCACACAGAACCCGAGGTGTCAGAGCATCAGGTACCTACTAATCATCCTGCTACTTCTCAGTCACATGGAACCCCCCGCCAAGTTCCAACATCACCTCCCAAGTCTAAACTATATAGTCCCAGATTAATGGAATCATTGACCCAGAGTAACAAGTCTCTCAGCCTCAGCTTGCCATGAGTCACACATATAGATAGCACACCATCTCCCTGTAACTCTCAAAATCTTTCCATGAGAAGCAAACACCAGAGACCCAGCTCTGGAGTCACATACTCATGACCCAGAGCCCTAAGTCTCATTGGGTACCTACAAATGCTATCCACACTTCCTCAGTAATAAGCCCGGGGTTATGCCCTGGAGAACTAGCCACTAGAGCCGAATCTCCAGAGTAACAAGCCCCTGAGTGACACTCCCAGTATTACACTAATGCTACAGAGCACTAGCCACAGATTAGCACTTCTGTGAGCAACCAATACCCTATGAGCAACACCACCAGAATAGCACCCCTGGAATCACAGCCCTGAGTAACACCTTCATGGTGACAGCCTGGCCTAGTTCCCTAGAATAACATCTGAGGGGTTCCACAGGAGGAAGAATCTTGATTAAGGCCATGTACACAAGGATTTATCCTGCCTAGCTTGCACGGGTGCCCTTCAGTTACACTGCAGGTGAAGTGGCCTGCATAAGCCACTGACACCCATGGAATTTAGGCCAGAGAAAAAATTTGAATCATGGAGCAATGTAGCAGGGTATTAGAGTATACCAGCCTGCAAAACAAGACTTCTATTCTCCTCCCAAGGACAGTAGACAGCCTGGGACAACTACTGGTCCTTGTGACTTGATGTGTGAGAGGGTAGGTGAGGTGGTGTTACCAAGGAATCTTCAGACCCCAGAGTCCCCTCCCTCAAAGGCCCGTACACCCGTCCCTCCTGAACACACCAATAGCCTTTAATTTGTCAGTCCCTATGTTTCTGGGACCTCCTATACCTCTTAATGTGTTCCTGTTCACTTTTCACATATCTGAGTGTCTGTCTTCCCTGACTCATCACTATCTCTATCGTCCAGTCTAGTTTTCCTACTATCTCTCGCTCTAGGTCTCTGTTTTTCCATCCTGCAGAGGGCGGTAGGGATGGGTGGACTATTGATTGTCTGGTTCTACTTTTGCCAGAGAGGAGGAAGGGGGCTCAGTCTGAGAGGGGTGTCCTACCTGCTTGAACTGTTCCTCATAGGTCCACTCATGTGGATGGAGTCCAGGGGGCTGGCTGGAAGGTGAGTTGGGACACTGGGCCCCTGGATGAGCCTCCTCAGCTGTCTCCTCTGCCAGGGCTTCCTCTCCCTCCTCATCCTCTTCAGCATCCTCTTCTTCAGCCCCAACCACCCCTAAGGCCCCCTCAGGAGCCTGTAAGGTCAGGGCTCTAGGCAGAGGAGGCTGTGGAAGTGGGAGTCGGGGTGGGGCCAAGGGCCCCACCCCTTGGGCCAGCCGAGCTGCCTGCTGCCTCTGCAGGGCCTCCATTACAGCTTCCAGGCGCAGTCCCCCTGCTGGTGGGGGCCCTGGTACCAGGCGGGGCCCTGAGGAAAGGGCCGTCTGTGGGGGGAGTAAATTATTGGGTGGTAGGCCTTGCTGCCCCCTCCCCTACAACACAAGGAGAGATGGTCATGGATTCAAGGGCATGCAAGGAAATCATAAGGAAAGGGCAGATGGGTCAGGTGAACAGAGATTGTCCGGTAGATAGAGCAGGAGAGAAAGAGACCAGACATGGGAGTCAGAAATGGCCATGGACTGAGGGCAGGGAAAGAATGAACAAATCAGAGAGGGCAGCAGAGACCAAGAGGGGTCCTGGGCAGAGGGAGATGTGACACACAGTCATACACACAGAGACAACGACAGGGAGATATGGAAACAGAGATGAGAGACAGGTGGGGAGATATAGAGACTGAGGAGCGACAAGATGAAGCTAGTGGGTAGAGAGACAGGGAGTGTGGAAGAGGAACATGAGATAAAATACCTAAGAGGAAGGGACAGACAGGTAGAAAGAGACTGTGCGATGGTTTGAGAGAGACCTGGAAAAGACCGACCCAGGAGAGAGACATAAGAGACTAGAGACAGGGCGAGACAGAAAATAGAGGGTACAGATGAAGAAATGGGGTAGAAAGGTAGAAGACAAGAACGTAGAGGGAGCATGGGAAGAGGGCTGTGGGGCAGAGGCTGGGTCAAGGACTGGACAGAGACAGGACCAGACTGGCAAGAGGCGGCAGGGTGGCTGCGCCCTGCTCTCGGGCTCCCAGCGCCCCACAGCTACACCCACCTGCCTGGCACGGCCCGCAGCCCCGGGGGTCTCCACGGCGGTCCCTCTGCTTCGCCCTCCTCCCGGGCGGCCCCTGCCTTGGCTGGGTTCCCTGCGCAGGGTCCCCGCGGTGCGCTCCCGCCGCCCTGCACTCCTCTGGCCGCGGTGCGCTCAGTGGCGGTCCTCCGCTGCCTGCGGTCGCGGGGGCGGGACCCGAGCAGGGCAGGGCGGGCGCGGGCGGACGCAACCCGTGAGGCCCGGGTGGGCTCGGCCCCCGTCAGGCCCCCAACAGGTGTCTCCCACCTTCCTTCCAGCCAGACTCGAGGGAGGGGGCGCAGGAGAGCTAGGGGGAACCATGAGAGGGAGAGAGTACTCCACCGTTACCAAACTCCGGCCCAGGGCCCCGCCCCGCCTCACAAGTCGTGTCCCCCACACCCACACTCAGTGCCCGCCGTTCACACACAAGTAGCCGTGTTCACACACTAACACACCTGATCACAAGTTCAGAGACAATCTCACACACTGTGTTTAAAGGTCTGTTTAGAGGGCCAAGGGCCTGGGCAGACTGTGATCACCGGGGGATCACTACAGGATGCTGGGTTGAATGTGAAGCACCTAGTCAGGACAGAGCTTTCCCTCCCTCCCTGTTAACCTGCTGCCCTCAACTGCAGGTGTGCTACACTTTGTACCCAAGCATGCACATGCCAGTGGACCCACGCGTGTGCACTTACACACTCTGAGCTCTCTGGGTTGACTGCATACCCACAGTAGGATAGACATGTTATGCAGATCTGCAGCCACACATGATTTTGTCATTTTAAAAACCTCTTTTGATTTTAATTATGGATTTCTAAACATATATGGAGGAATGAAGAATGTAATGACCCCAGGCTCTCATCACCTGTTTGTTCAGTGATTTGACAGTTCGTCCATCTTCACATATACTCTCTACCCTTGTGTCCCTGACTTCTATATCTGCATGTCCAGATCCTTCCGGCCAAAGGCCCTGGATCAACCCCACCCCACATATGTCCTGGATGCTTTTCTATATTGGGAGTCCTGATTGGCAGGCCATAATTTCTCCTCTGAACAGCCTGACCCTGTTCCTGTCAGGTAGTCTCATGTTTTCCTAGCTTCTTTCTGTGGCCAAGGAGACTTACCTCCCAAAGACACAAGGGCCACTTTAAGGGGAATGAACAGCAGGTCACTGGGTGATACCTACATGGGTATGAAACTATGTCAAACCCTTTAGTTTTAAGGACCAATTTCAGACCTCACCCAGTGAAACACATATGCCCCACTGCAACCATTCCTGCCTGTGGTAGGAATTTCGGAATGACCTTAACTTCCTGCCTCATCACCTCCCATTCAGTCTGCTCCTCTCAACATCAGCTCACCCTGGCCCATATCACCAGCTCTTCTCACCAGGATCCCATTCTGAGTGCCACCCTCAAGTTTTCCTGACTCCAGTCTCCACCCTCAACAACCTAACTCATGCTTCAGAGCTAAGTCCTTGTCTGCTGTGGCCATCCCTGGCCATGCTGAGGCTCAGCCCACTCATTCCTTTGGCTAGTCTCAGTGCCCCTCCCCTCAGACATCAGATCTCACAGCCAGTCAACATCCCCTCAACCCCTCCAGTCCTCAGTGATCCACTTCATTACTGAGCCCCCTTCACCCCAAGCCCATGACTGTCTGAAGATGTGCATTCTCCTCTTACAGAGCTAAGCCTTCTTCCCTTCTATGCCCCACCCTATGCTGGGCTTACAAAGGTGCATTAGTGCAGATAGTGACTGCACAGAGGCAGACAGTCATGTCCTGTGGGTGCTGTGGATGACTAGAGGGCAAAGGGTAGAGATGTAGGAACTCTGGTGTGCCCAGCTTGCTCATTTTCCCCCACTTTCCACTGTTTTCTCAGAGGTGCTTAGAGAGAAATGCAAGATTCCTCCTGGAAAAGTAGGAACTGGCTTGGGGAAATTCTTTTTGTAGGGCCTAGAGTTAGGGGGAATGGGCAGCCCCCTCAAATTAAAAATCAAGCAGTGTCAACCCACCTTTGGGGTCTGAGCCAGAAGAACTATAATATGGAAGGTCTGAAGGAAAGGAATAAGTCTGACTGGGACCTTATATTAAAGGAAAGGCTGCTACTTACACCCACCATACACAGGCTGGACGTATTCCTCACACAGATAAGACAAACAGACCTAGATCTTAGAAACCAACGTTTGAATCATCAAGCATGTGTTTACTGAATACTTTATGACAGGTACTTTTGGGAACAGACGTGAATAAAGCAGTCACTGTTATATGCTATTATTACAGTGGGGGAGATATATATTATGTCAGATGGTAGTATGTATCATGAAGAAAAATGTGGCTGGAGCTGGGTCTGGTGGCACAGACATGAAACTCCAGTAACTCAAGAGGTTGAGGCAGGAGGGTCACCAAGTTAAAGGCTTGTCTTGGCTACAGAGTTCAAGGCCAACTTGAGCAACTTGGTGAGACCCTGTCTCAAAATAAAAAGTAAAAAGATGGCTAGCGATGTAGTTCAATGGTAGTTTGCCTAACACACATAAGGCCCTCAGTTCAATCCCTAGTACCAGGAGGAAAAAAAGTGATTGTATTAGGGGCATAGAAAGGGAAGGGCTGGTCACCTATCTGGCATGTAGCTAATTATTGCTCTCCCCAATTTAGCAGCTTAGAACAACAAATGCTTATTTTCTCACTTTTCTGTGGCCAAGGATCCAAGAATGGCTTAGCTGGGATGCTGCAAGCCCTTGCTTATGAGGTGTTTATTAATTGTTTTTCTGGTTACTGTGCTAAAATACCTGGTAAAAGCAACTTAAGGAAAGGTTTATTTTGGCTTACAGTGAGAGGGTACAGCCCATTGGCAAAGAAGTCATGGGGGTAGGAGTGTAAGGCAGCTGGTCACATGGTATCTACAGTCAGGGAGTATGTATGAATACTGGTGCTCAGCTCACTTTCTCCTTTTTTATTCAGTCTGGAATCCCGGGTCATGGAATGGTATCCACATTCAAGGTGGATCTTTTAGGCTCTGTTAAACCATTCTGGAAACATTAGGCACACCCAGAGGTATGTTTCATGGTGATTCTAAATTCCATCAAGTTGATAATGAAGATTGAAGTTGTAGTAAAAATGTTCTAAAGGCTGGAGAAGGGAAAGAAAGCCATTGAAAATGTCTCAGAATAAATGTCTGCCTCTGGCTTTTGTGGGAAGTCTCCACTGAAGATGATCAATGGATGATGGTGTCTTGGACCAGGCTGAAAACAGCAGAAATGGTAAGGATATAGACACTATTTTAATATTAAGACAGGGTCTTACATGCCAGACATGGTGGCCCATGCCTTTAATCCCAGTATTCAGGCGGCAGAGGCAGGCAGATCTCTGTGAGATGGAGGCCAGCCTGGTCTACATAGCGAGTTCCAGGCCAGCTGGGGCTGCAGGGAGATCCTGTCTCAAAAAGACAGAAAAAAAAAAATACAGGGTCTTACTATGTAGTACAGGCTGGCTGACTCTGAACTCACAATCCTCCTGCCTCTCTGTGCTGGGATTACAGTCATGTGACACAATACTCAGAGAAATCTGGATGTTTTGTTTGTTTTTAAATATTTTATTTTTTTTTATTTTATGTGTATGAATGTATTGCCTACATGTATGTGAGTGTACCCGTGTCGTGCAATGCCACGGAGGTCAGAAGAGGGCTTTGGATTCCCCTGGAACTGGAGTTAAGGATGGTTCGTAGCCACCATGTGGGTGCTGGGAATCGAATCCGGGTCCTCTGTAAGAGCAGTCAGTGCTCTTACCTGCTGAGCCATCTCTCCAGCCCTGAAGTCTTGATGTTTTAAAGATGAAACTGAAGATTGGTGGATGGTTTGGATGTGGGTTGTGAGACCATTAAGTGTAGAAGGATTCAAAAGGGTTTAGTCTGAGACATTAAAGACCATATGGTGGTAGTAACTGGAAGAGAAATCAGTTTCCTTTGAATCTTGTAAGTTTGAAACACCTATTAAACAACCAAGTGGAGACACTGAGTAAAGGGAGTAAGATATCCAAAGCTGGAGCTCAGGGAAGTGATTAAGGCTTAAGAGAGATTTGGAGGTGAAGATATGTAGATGTTATTATTTTGTGTTATATGTAAGTGCTGAGGCTAGAGAAAGACACCGTGTCCTCCTCCATCACTCTCTGCCTTATTCCTTCGAGACAGGTCTCTCACTGAACCTGGAAGTAGGCTGTTGGCCAGCTAGCCCCAGCAGTTGTCTTGTCTCCACCAACGTAGCAGGTGGATAGCCACCTGCTTTTTATACGGATGGTAAGATCTGAATTCAGGTCCCCATATTGGCACAGCATGCACTCTTACTCACCGAGTCATCTCTCTAGGCCCTGCAGGTGGCATTTAAAGTCATGAAATAGATGAGATCATTTGGGAAGGGGTATAGACTGAGATGAGGTATATGCAAGTCTTGTGAAGTCAGAGGTTGAAGAGATAGGATCTGTAAGTGAATTAATAAAGAAAAAAAAAGTGTTCTCGAAGCCAAATGTGTTTTAGGAGTTAATAACTGTGTTAAAAGAACACAGGGGGATTGTTCCATGGTAGAGCGTAGAATGTGGTCTTGGCCTGCACAAGGCATTGGGTTCGATCCTCAGTATCAATAAAAAGAAAAAAATTTGAGAACTATGAACTGATCACTAGCCTTAACAACAGAGATGGGAGTGGGTCTGGGAGCACAGTTTTTTGTAGGAGGGATAATAGGGGACATTTGGATATCCCTGAGACATGTGCTCTGAACTAGAAGCAGAACTGGTTACCATGTAGGGGAAGTCCTCTAAAATCAATAGAGAGGCTTCAGCCAGGGCCTGTCACAGTCAACATGGTGGTAGTGAGTTGGGGAAAGGCATCAAGATGGCCAGCTTGCCTGAGTTTCACATTCATTCAAGGCCATGCATTTAGATTTCTTTTTTTAATATTTTTTGAGACAGGGCCTATATATCCCTAGGTGATTTGGAGTTCACTATGTAGGCCAGGCCTTGAACTCACAGAGATATGCCTGCCTCTGTCTCCCAGGTGCTGGGATTATAAGGCATACACCACCACGCCTGGTCACACATTTAGATTTTAAAAAGTTCATTATTTTTATTTTATGTATATGAGTGTATTGCCTGCATGTGTGTAAGTGCATCTGTGTCACACAATGCTCTTGGGAGGTCAGAAGAAGGTGTTGGATCCTCTGAAACTGCAGTTATGGATGGTTGTTAGCCACCATGTGGATACTGGGAATCAAACCTGGGTCCTCTGCAACAGCAGCCAGTACTCTTAACCACTGAGCCATCTCTCCAGCCTCCTAGACTTTAAAAAATATTTTGTTTTTATTTTTTATTTTTTTGGTCTTTTCGAGATAGAGTCTCCCTGTAGCCCCAGCTGGCCTGGAACTCATTATATAGACCAAGCTGGCTTTGAACTCACAGAAATTCACCTGCCTCTCTCAAGTGCTAGGATTAAAGGTATGTGCCACCACGCCCAGTTTATTATTTTTATGTGTGAGTATATTGCCTGCATGTGAGTGCACCCATGTCATGCAATGTCCATGGACGTCAGAAGAGGGCACCAGATGCCATGGTACTGGCTGTTAGCTGCATATGGGTGCTGGGAATTGAATCTGGCTCCTCTGCAAGAGCAGCCAGTGCTCTTAACTGCTGAGCCATCTCACTAACCCCACATTTAAAATTTGTGTTTGTTTTTTGAGACACGATCTCAATATGTAGACTAGGCTGGCCTTGAACTCATGAAAATCTACCTACCTCTGCCTCTGGAAGACTGGGATTAAAGGCCTGAGTCACCAAGCCCAGCTTTTGATGCTATTTTCAAGTAAGGTTATACCATGTGGACTTTTGTATTTGTGTTCTATAGAATGCCAAAGCTTAAATATTAATCTGCCAAGAATCCTAAAACATGAGAGTGGTCTGGGTCTTACTCAACTTATGTAGGGCCAGGATGAAGGTGAGGGAAGCCTGGTGCCTATGGGGCAAAAGAAGCCAAGAGCAAGATCCTTAGGAACAAGTGTGCTTTCAGCACTATCTGCCTCATCCTACCAGGCACTGTGCCTGGTTCCTGCCCCAGAGCTCCCACACAAGTGCTCTCAGAGTGGAGAAACTCTTCCTCTAGGGGAGTACACACCATACTCTGGGAACCTAGTGGGAAAAAAAAAAACAGCTGACAACACTGATGATTGTTTCAGCTCAAATGTGGGAGCACAGTGCCACCCCATGGCCATCTAGGGCTGGATTCTCAGGACCATCCCCAGGATTGACCCACCAGAATACACACAGAACCCCTCACTGGGGTCTCAATTTCTCATATTCACAACTGTTTTCTGAATTCAGGAAAACTAATCTCTGCAGATGCAACCCAGTAAGCTGGAGACCCAAGAAGCTGTCTAGAGACGGGGCTGTAACTTGGTGAAGTGCTTGCCTAGCATGAACAAGTCCCTGGGCTTGAGCCCCAGTACCCTAACATGCCAATAATCCCAGGACTCAAGTGGAGGCAGGAGGACCAGAAGTTCAAGGTCATTGTCAGCTACACGTAGTAATTTTGAGGCTAGCCTTACATTTAAAAACAACGAAGTAAGATATGGTGGTATACACCTTTTAGTCCCAGCACTTGGGCAGAGGCAGCTAGATCTCCAGAAGATTGAGGCCAGCCTGTCTACATAGTGAGTTTCAGGCCAGCTGGGGCTACAGGGAAACCCTGCCTCAAAAAGACAAAAACAAACGGGTTGGAGAGATGGCTCAGCAGTTAAGTATACTGGCTGCTCTTGCAGAGGATTTAGGTTCTATTCCCCGTACCCATATGGCAGCTAACAACCATCCATAACTCCAGTTCCAGGGTATCTGACACCCACTTTTGACCGCCATGGGCACTGCATGACCTGGGTGCACTTATATATGTGCAGGTATAAACATAAAATACATGCATACCCATAAAATAAAAACAAAAGTGCTGCTTTCTTAGACATATATGGTCTCTTCTGTCCAAAATTAGTCTTATAAACTAGATTTTACAGGAGAGTCCTTTCTGAGGTGCCCCCAGGAGTCAGCAGCCTTTCCCTGCTCAGACACACAAAGAAATTGAATTGTTTAACAAGTTTTTATTGACAGAGATGTAGACAGAGAACACAGCAGAACTGTCTGGAAACTGATGGGTGTGCACATACACACAAAGCCTTCTTTTGGTCAGAGATGGCTCCTTTGACCCAGGCCCACTTTTCCAGGTCCTCTCCTCAGTGGCCAGCCCTGGATGTAGGGCGGCAGCTTTCCCATCATACCCCCAAAGGAAAGATAGGGGTCTCTGAGATAGAGGACCTTTCTTCAGCATTCTGTACATTCCTCTGCTTTCCCAGCTAAGTTGGTTGCTGAGGGTATGGGGGACAAGCCACAGGGGCACTTGCATAGCAGGGGAATGGAATGGCAATAAGGCATATGGTGAGAAAAGGGGGGATGAAGGGGAAGGGTATCATAGCTGCAGGTCGAGAGGGCCTCCAAAGGGCAGCTCTTCTTTTCCCTCACCTGAGATGGACTGAAGAGTCAGAGTGAGGCAGAGTGGAAGATCTATCTCCATCCTAACCCCCAGAGCCCTCAATGCTGGTAGGAAGCTCTGGAAAGGCCTGAGTCAGTGAGTCAAGCTTGTGATATGTGTTCACATATGACTAGCCCCCTTGGTATATACGTAGAGGACCCTCTCTGGATGGATGTGAGTGCATGATCTTGCAGTACACACAGGTCTTCAGCCATCTCTATGTCTCATTTGTTCCCAAAGAGCTCTGTGTACATGTATAAGCATGTATGTCCTTCCTCATACAGCAGGAATTTAATATTTGCATTAATATGCACGTGGCTCCAATAAGTGGATGTGTGTGGGCCTGCCCGTGCCTTTCCATCCACAGGTCCTTCCTTCAGGCCTGGCTGGTCAGGGGTCCTGGCCAAAGAGGTAGGTGTTGAGCTCAAGCCGGAGGCCCCGGGCATAGGCGCGAAGGGTATAGAAGAGGGTGAGGAAGTCCTGGGTGCTGAAGACAGTGTCAGCCAGAGCAAACGCCAGGGTAGATGGAATGACTCCTCGGCCGTACTCCACCATCCATGTGTTTGGTCCCCACTCCACAGCCGTTGCCTCTCCAGGCCCATGCACAACTGTCTCTCCTGAGGGGACAGGGAGTACCCAAAATGAGGAGCCCAGCTCTGCCCTGGTCTTCTACTGTTGCATATCCCTGTCTTATGTGCTCTGTCTAAGGCTGGGGAATGTAGAGACAACTTCAGGAAAGGAAAGAGCTCTATCCTACTGGCCTGGCTTCCCATTCAGAGGGGAAAGAGACCCAGATGCCCACTAAATATTCTGTAGCTATGGAGTCACCTGGTCTATATCCTCTTGGGGGAGGCCATGGAGGGCTACCCATCTGGCCACGCAAGTCATGGGCATCTGCATTCCCAATGCTCACTCATGTCAGTGGAAATTTTGCTAAACTTGAGCTGGATTGGTTTGACAGAGAGGGGTGGTTACCAAATTTGTCAGACTTCCTGAGAAATGCAGCTGTCCAATCACAATGCCTGCATGCTTACACTTAACCTCACACTCAAGTCCAAAGCTGTTTTTTCCTTTTCTATCCATAGGTCTATTAAAAAAAAAAAAAAAAAAGGCTGGACATGGCACTTGGGAGGCAAAAACAAGGTGGATCTCTGTGAGCTCCAGGTCAGCCAGGGCTATAGTGAGACCCTGTCTCAAAAATAGCAAAAAATAAAAAACCTAAACTGTCTCACTATTTTATAAAAATAGGACAGGAGACAACTATTTGTCTCAGCTTTTGGGTGAGTATGTTTCTTACTACTGTCTCCGAAATAACTGCTGCAATAATGGCCGGGTAAAATAGTTTCCAGGCAGATAAAACTCAGACCGGAAGCTGTTGTTTTGTTTCCCTTTAACACAGGAAAGGGTCAGGGTCCCTCAGCTCTACCCCAACCAACCACCTGTGGCTTACCAGGGAGAGAAGGAATCTCCAGGGATGGCCTTCTTAACATGGTTCTTCCCTAGCTTGGGCCTCCCTCCCCCCGACAGTCTCTTACCTGGGTAGAAGACCTCACTTTTGGTGGTGCCCTCTCTCCACTGGTGGAACGTGCCAGAGATGATAGTGTCGGAAATCTCAGCCCAGTAGCGCCCTGAGTGACAATCAGAAATGGACACCGACCATCAGGGTATCCTTGTCTACACACGGTCCAGCCAAACCTCAGAAAAGAGTACTCTGGCCCCAGTACTGACCCAGCTTCCCAATCCCGCCCTCCGCCAGCACTGACCCGAATGGCCACGGGAGCCCAGGGCGGTGCCGAAGAGCAGCACGTACTCAGACAGCGAGGCGTGCAAAAGGCACATAGCGCCCATCCAGCCGCCCGCGTTCACAAACACCCACTGCAGCTCCTCGTCGGGCAGCACGTGCCCTGGGTGCAGCCGCCGCAGCTCCACGATCAGCCGAGAGAAGGCCAGCTCATGGTCCAGCCCTGATGGAGACCGGAGCGGTGGAGTCAGAGCCAACCCCGGCCGGGGCTGGGGTGGGGGGGAGGCTCCCGGGGCCGGGACTGGGGTAGGGGGAGGCGCCCGGGGCCGGGACTGGGGTAGGGGGAGGCGCCCGGGGCGGAACCTGGGGAAGGCGCCCTGGGAGCCCGCAGCCGGGTGCAGCCCGCCCGCCCAACTCTGGCTCACCCGCGTACTGCCGCGCTAACTGCGCGATCTCTTCGCGCTGGAAGACAAAGCTCTGCGTACCCAGCCAGAGCCAGACGACCTGGGTCAGCACCGCGGCGGCAGCCAGAATCAGGGCGAGCCATGCCCACCGCCGGCCCACGGCCCACTGCATACCGGCGGGAAGGCTGGCACCAGCTGGGAGTCGGGGCGGAGTTCGCTGAGCCTCAGAGTCCGCCGGACTCCACCCCCGCCACCTCCGTGGTATGGCTCGGCCCCGCCAATCGGAACGCCCGCCCACGCTAGCACCGCCCTGGACTGAACCATTTGCTGGTGGGGAGAGCAGAAGGTTGGTGCAGGCGGCACCAGGTGAGGGGGCGGGGCCGAGCCGCCCTCGGAAGTTCTGTCTGGGTGTCTCTTAGCGCCACGCCCCGTCGGGGTTGGGGGGAGCTGCGGGAAGACCTAGAATGGAATGGCCCCCTGGGCTGGCGAGCCCAGTAGAGTTTTCTAGGAGTCGCGATTGCTAGGACCCGCTTGGGCTGGCACAGAAGCTGGGCCTTCCAGAGGCGGGGACACCTGCTCGGTGTCTTTAAGACAGAGAAGGGCATGCCAGCTGATGGGACCATTCCAAGAGCCAAAGGGGAGAGACAACTGGATTCATGCCATTCATCCTTAGTTAGGAAGCACAAACAATGTGAAAGGCCTTGTAAACCAATGGGAAGTTCATCCACAGGAGAACTATGGCATTAGATTTTGCCACAGAGTGGTACAGGCTACACAGGGGAGGGGAGCAAAATTCGGCTAGAGTTCAAGTAAGAGAGAAGGCTATGTCAATGGAGATAGAAATGAACCTGGTGTCGTGGCACCCGCCTTTAATCTTGGCACTCTAAAGGCAAAGGGAAAGGTAGGCAGATCTCTGTGAGATCTAGGCCAGCTTGGTCTACAGAGTTCCAGGTCAGCTAAGGCTGTTTGAGACCCTGTCTCAAAACTAAAAACAGGGACTGGAGAGATGGCTCAGTGGTTAAAAGCAATGACTGCTCTTTCAGAGGACCCAGGTTCAGTTCCTAGCACCCACGTGATGGCTAGCAACCCCTGTAACGCCAGTTCTAGGGGATCCAACGCTCTCTCCTGACCTCTACCGGCATTGTATGCAAGGTGCACTTACATATATGCAGGCAAAACACTCATATACATAAAAATAGATAATAAATAAATAAATAATAAATAAATAAATAAATACAGAGAAATGAGCTTGAAAACAGAACTGGCAAATTTTATTCTTTTCTTCCTGGAATACTTCCTCCTCCAGCTTCCACCCTACCCCTTCCTCTTACTTGACTAAGTCTTGTTTATGTCTACTGGGCAGTTGAGTGTCCACATTTAGAGCACAAATCTAGTCTGGAGACAGAGAAATCTATTCAGGCAACAGATATTGCTTCTATGGGACCAAGTTCTGCAGTGAGGACTGGGGATATGGCTCAAAACAATGCAAGCTTGGTCTCATTCTTCCATACAGATCTCATTGGGTATCTTATAGAAAAGATGGTAATTAAAGCCTAAAAACTAACCAGGCCTGGTGGGACCTGATTATAATTCCAGCTATTCAGGAGACCGAGGCAGGAAGATCACAATTTCAAGGCCAGCATGGACAACTTTATCAGATCTTGTCTGAAAAGAATTTAAAAATTATAAAGGGACTGGGGATACATCTCAGTAGTAGCAGTGGTCTAGCATGAGTAAGGCCCTAAATTCAATCCCCAGGACTATGCTAGACCAACAACAAAAACCCTAAGACTTACACCAGGCATGGATTCATATACTTGTAATCCAAGTAGTCAGGAAAACTCCCTGAGGTAGGAGGGTCCAGAATTCAAGGCAGGTCTGGGATACATAATTCAAGGATAGCCTGGGATATGCAATCCAAGGCTAACCTGGACAATATAGCAAGACACTGTCTCAAGCAAAACAAGGTAATACTAAAACCTGAAAACTTGGGAGGGAGAATTGAGTAAAGCCAAGGATAGAGCCCCCTAGAAAATACCAACAACAATAAGAAAAAGAAACAGAAAAAAGAACGAAAATACCGACAATCAAGGAATAAGCAGAGGTAGAAGAGACTAAAACAGAAAAGAAGGGGGAGAAAAGCTGGATGTGGTGGCACACAGGTTTAACATCAACACTCAGGAAACAAAGGCAGGTAGATCTCTGCGTTTGAGGCCAGCCTGGTCAACATAGTGAGTTCCAGGCCAGCCAGGGCTGTTTCAAAAATAAGAAAAGAAAAAAAAAAAAAAAAAAAAAAGAAAGAAAAAGAAAGAAATAAACTCTGGGGGTTGGAGATGGCTCAGTGAGGAACTGAGTTTGAATGTTCAATGAGACTCTATCTCAAAGGAGTAAGGCAGAGCATGATAGAGCAGGAAACCCATTATCTTCTTCTGGCCTCCAGAAGTGCACACACAGGCAAGTACACACAGACACATATGCACATGCACCACACACACACACACACACACACACACACACACACACTAATCCATTAAGGGCTGGGCATGGTGGTGCACATTTTTAAGCCCAGCACTTGAGAGGCAGAGGGAGGTGGATCTCTGTGAGTTTGAGGCTAGCCTGGTCTACATAGTGAGTTCCAGGCCAGCTGGGGTTTCAGGGAGACACTGTCTCAAAAAGATAAAAAAAAAGACCAACTCCTCCCCCAAACCCCTAATCTATTAAAAAAGAAAACTCTGAATCTGAACTGTCTAGGTTCAGACCTTGACTCTTGCCATCAAGAGATTATATGATCTTGGACAAATCACAAAAATTTCTATAACTCAGCTGTCTTTTTTAAAATTTTATTTTATTTATTATTTTAATTTTATGTGTATACATGTATTGCCTGCATGTATGAAAGTGCACCCATGTCTTGCAGTACCCCCAGAGGACAGAAGAGGTCGTCGGATCCCCTAGAACTGAAGTTCTGGACAGTTGTTAGCTGCCATGTAGATGCTGGGATTTGAACCTGGGTCTTCTGCAAGAGAAATCAGTGTTCTTAACCACTGAGCCATCTCTCCAGCCCATGACTCAGTTTTCTTATCTGTAAAATAGAATAAATAAAAGTACTTGCTTCATAGTACATACCTTCATTATGATAATTATTAAATGAATTAATATATTTAAAGCAATTAGTGCCTGGCATATGGTCATCATTATATGTATAGTTAGGTAAAGAAAACATAAAGGGAGTTGGGAGTGGTAGCACACCCTGTAATCCCATCCCAGCACTTGGGAGGTAGAGGCAGAAAGATCAGGAGTTCAAGGTCATTATCAGCTATAGAGCCAGACTGGGCCATATGATACCATATCAAAACAAAACAAAACAAAACAGGATCTGGAGAGATGGCTCAGAGGTTAAGAGTACTGGCTGCTCTTACAGAGGACCTCCAGTTCAGTTCCCAGCATCCACATGGAGGCTACCAATTGTAACCCCAGTTTCTTTGGGCCTCCACTGGTATTGCATGCACAGGTGCACTTACATGCAGTCAAAATACTCATACACATAAAATAAAAATAAAATAAATTTAAAATAATTAAAACAAACCACCACCACCAACAAAGGAACTAGAAGAGATTAGCTCCCTACATGAGACCAATGGAATGAGAGGTTAATACAGTTAAATATGATTGAGAGCGTCAATAAGATGATGGGAGTGGTCATTAGAGTTCTCAGTAGGGCCTGTGACAGAGACATTTCCTTTTGCTCTTGGGCAGTCAGAGTACATTCCACAGTCTATTCTGTAGTTAGGACCATGTAATTTTGTTCTAGGCAATGAAGTAGAGGTAAAAATGCTGTATGAACTTCCAGGTCTGGCTTCAAAAAATATGTGAAATTCTTTGTGTTCTCTCTCTTCTTCTTCAGCTCTTACCATAGTTATAGAGGACCTATAGAATTCTAGGTAGAGATTTCAGAAGCCTTGAGGAATAGAGCCACTAGACAGATGGATCTCTGAATGCTGAATGGAACAAAGCTTCCCCCACTCCAAACACACACACACACACACACACACACACACACACACACACACGCACACACACGCACACTACTGAGCTTTGAAAGTTACAGCAACTAAGCTTATTTACTCCTGAGTAATGCAAGGTCAAAAACATGTTGCAATATACTGTGCAGTTGAAAGTAAAGACTGGGTTGCCAGGCGTGGTGGCGCACATCTTTAACGCTAGCAGAGGCAGGCGGATCTCTATGAGTTCAAGGCCAGCCTGGTCCACATAGCAAGTTCCAGGCCAGCTGGGGCTACAGGGAGACCCTGTCTCAAAAACAAAAACAAAAACAAAAAACAACAAAAAAACTCCCAAAACAAAAGTAAGACTGGGAAGATAGACTATGGTAGTTTTGTTTGTTTTGTTTTGAGAAACTAGTGGAGAATGAAAGGTTGAGGGAACATGTTTCTATATTGCCTCTGGCTTCTGTGGCACTCCTCAGTGACCATTCTCCATGATGGCTGAGACCCCTTAGATAAGTCCCTTTTTTGTCTTTCTCCACCAAGTTTTTCATAAAGAAATTTCATCTTCTTAGCCTCTTCTATTAGCTGTACTGTATATAGCAACATGTCTCTTGCCTTATTAATTAGGGTAAGTAATCTTAGTTGCTGTGACAATCCCCAAACTCCATGGCAAACAATACCTAGAGTTCAGGGGACCCCTCTATAGCAGGTTTCTGTCCTTCATTCCAAGAAGAAATGTTTTCTGACACTATCCCCTATCTGGTCTTTCAGAAAGCTTTTTCAGAAAGCACACCCCATTAAAAAAAATCCTAGGCTTTGAGGGACTTCAGGAGGGAACTAGGGATGAGTGTGACAGCATCCTCTTCTCAAATGTCATAGCTGAGAATATACCTCTGGGAGGGAAAAGGTCAGGTAGGCCCCATCTAGACCATTCTCCTCTTCCTGGAAAAAGGGCTTGGGAAGAAATAGAGAGAGGAGATGCATGGAGAGGTTCCTGAAGGGTGTCAGGAGTCAGTTGGCATGATCTAGAGAGTAGCATTAAATTAAGCACTGGTGTTCCTGAGTAAATGGTGCTTCATACTCTAGTCACTCAAAGGCAGCGGATAGGGTAGAAAAGCAGATCCCTATCCCCCCCACCCCCACCCCGAGTTGTACTGTGAGCACTAGTAGAACTGGTAAAGCTCCTCTTTCAGTCCCTGCTCTCTGCTCTCTGCTCTCTACCTAATGGCTTCTTCAGATTCCAGGCAGAGGATTACAGGACAGAGATCAGGTAAATGTACAATGACCCGATTTTTACAGCTTAGCTGTCAGTATACAGGGCTCTGCCCAGCCCTGCTTGGGAGAGGGGCCTCTCTGCTGTGGTTCAGCTCCTTCCTAGTTCACAGGGTTTCTGTCCTGCATCCCACTGAAGTCTCAGAGGCCTCTCACAGAACTGGGAATTTTCTTAGGGTCTAGGGGTATAGATCAGCAGTAGAGAACTAGCCTTGCGTGCTCAGGGCTCTCGGTTTTATTCTCATGTGCTGCCAAAGAAACAAAATCCTCAAATTTCAGCTTATTCCTCTGTTCTTCACTGTGAAATAAGGAAGAGGTTTAGAGAGTATTTAGATGGCTCTTTTGATATGCCAGGGGAGGAATTACCCCTAGTTCCACATATTGAGAGAGTCAATAAAATAATGGGAGTGGTCAAAAGATTTCTTGGTAGGGACATGCAGCAGAGACATTTCCTTTCAGGAGATGGAAGCAGGAGGATTAGGAGTTCAAGATCATGCTTTTACATATAGAGTTCAAGACCAGTCTGGGATACGTGATGTAAGAAACATTAAATATTAATCTTTTCATTCAAACCCTGTAAAATTTGGTTTATGACAAGGAATTCTAATCTTTCAATTCCACCACACCCTGTATGTTTTTTGTTTAAGGAAAACCCTGATGCCTTCCTGAACCTGATGGCCTGGGGCAGTGGAGCTCTTCCCCCTTCCTTTGCTTCCATTCTTTTAAACTAGCTAACAGAGAAAATTAAGTCAGACCCCAGTCAATGGAGAAAAGACATAGTATTCTTTTTTTTGATCTTTTTGAGACAGGGTCTTCCTCCTTGAACTCACAGAGATCCACCTGCCTCTGCCTCCCAAGTGCTGCACACAGGGCATCTGTATGAGCCACACAGAGTCTAGGTGTCTGTACATGGTTCAAATGTTCAATAAAAATGATGTCTTCTGGACATGACATGACCATTACACTTATGAACTCACTGCAGTTGCAGCTGTGGTTAGCTGCACAAGACTTGAACAAGGCTGCGCCCATCAGGGCTGGAGAGATGATTCAGTAGTTAAGAGTACTGGCTACTCTTTTTCTAAAAAAACCTTTTTAAAAAATTTTTATTTATCATTTTTATTCTCTGTGTATGAGTGTATTGCCTGCATGTATATGAGTACACCCGTGTTGTGTTGTGCAATGCTGTGGAGGTCAGAAGAGGGCTTTGGATTCCCCTGGAACTGGAGCTAAGGATGGCTCCCAGCCACCATGTGGGTGCTGGGAGTCGAACCGGGGTCCTCTAGCAAGAGAAGTCAATGCTCTTAACCGCTGAGCCATCTCTCCAGCCTTTCTTTCTTTTTCTTTCTCTCCCTCCTCTCTCTCTCTCTCTCTCTCTCTCTCTCTCTCTCTCTCCTCTTCTTTCTTTTAAAAATGTGTTTGAGTGTATTGCCTGCATGTATGTAAGTGCACCCGTTTGGTGAAATGCTGGAGGAGGACAAAAGAGGGTGTTGGGTCTCCTGGAACTGGAGTTACAGATGGTTGTTAGCCACCATGTGGGTACTGGGAATCCAACCCAGGTCCTCTGCAAGAGCAGCCAGTGCTCTTAACTGCTGAGCGTTCTCTCTAGCCCTGGAGTACTGGCTACTCTTACAGACTAGGGTTCAGTTCCCACATGGTGGCCAACAACTCTGTAACTCCACTTCCAAGAGATCAGCGCCTTCTTCAGACCTCCACAGGCATTGCATGCACGTGGTGTACTTACATGCATACAAAACACTCGTACATATAAAAATTTAAAAAAATCTTTTAAAGATTGGGTTCCTCTGCCGGGTGTGGTGGTGCACGCCTTTAGTCCCAGCACTCGGGAGGTAGTGGTAGGCGGATCTCTGAGTTCAAGCCAGCCTGGTCTACTTAGCGAGTTCTAGGACAGCTGAGGCTACAGGGAGACCCTGTTTCAAAAAGACCAAAACACCAACAAATGGATTCATCAATATTTATCATGTATGGGGAAAGGGCTCATGAGGCTCCACCCCTCCCTGAGGGATGATTGACAGTTAATGGTTGCTGGCCGGAGGGGTATCGTTTTCTTCGGTTTGTGCAGCTGATAAGTTCCAATAAATACCCCCCATCCTCATTCAGGCAACTCTAATTAAACTCAGTGGGTCACAAAAAAAAAAGTAGGAGGGGGACTTGTTGGGAAGAAGAAAGGTTTAACACGCGCGAGTGTGCGTGTGTGTAAGAGAGAGCGAGAGAGAGCAAAATTCCTTATATAAGTGTTTGAAATGTCCTTCCTCCAAGTAAATAGTTGCTGAATAAATGGCAGATGAAAGAGTACAGCAAAGAGGTCTTGCTTCTTGGAGAGAAGAAGAGAAGCTGAAGGAGCTGGGGATCATCACATCCACGGCATTTGGCCGTCCTGAGCCCCGCCCAAGTGGCAGGCTGGCCTCTCTGGCAGTCACGTGCTGGCGGCTAGCCAATCATCGGGGCGGGCGGGCCCGGTGGCTCTGGACCTCTGAATGAGGCCAGGCAGACATTCCAGAAGAACTCCGGTGGCGTCATGTCGCGCAGCGGAAGCGGTCCTGAGGCGCCGGCGTCGGAGGGGGACGACCCGGCAACCACCTTCCGGGCGAGTGGTAATTGCAGGGCGGCCGGAACCCGCTGGGACGCCGAGCCGTGCCTTCCTCCTCCTTAGAACTTTCTCCACCCAACTTCAAGGTCTGCGAGTCCACCGGGTACAAAGCTCGCAGGGCGAGAGGAGGAGGGGCTGCAGGCCTCCTGGCTCTGCAAAGTTCATTTCTTTAACTCCTGGCCTTCAGCCTTTAGATCCTAGAAACCCTGGCACACAGAGCGCCCTGAGCCTGGGCCTGCCTGTGGCATGACAGCCGGGGTAGCGGGGGACTGAGCTTGGCTGACCGATCTTGACTGTCTCCCCAGAACATCAGCATATCCGCTACAACCCGCTCCAGGATGAGTGGGTGCTGGTATCAGCCCACCGCATGAAGCGGCCCTGGCAAGGGCAAGTGGAACCAGTGCTTATGAAGACAGTGCCCCGCCATGACCCACTCAACCCTCTGTGTCCCGGGGCTACACGGGCCAATGGTGAGGTAAGCCCACACCCGCAGAAAGGGCTAGAGGGAGTCATTCCCCCTTAGAGCTGCCCTTCATCCACCAGAGGGAGCAGTGCGCCTCCTTTTGGGTCATACCCCTACAAGCCTTTTTATTCCTTAGAATGAGCCTTCGTCACCCCCTTGCAGCCTGTAGCCCTTGGAAGCCCACCAGATGGCAATATGGGGCAGCAGGTATTTCTAGTCCTTCCTTGTCAGTAGGTGAATCCCAACTATGATGGCACCTTCCTGTTTGACAATGACTTTCCAGCATTGCAGCCTGATGCTCCGGATCCAGGTATCATTCTAACCATTGTTGGGGAGAAGGGAGACTGGACCTATTGGGGAAACGTGCTACAGAGGGACGTCTCTTTATCTTAGGACCCAGTGATCACCCGCTTTTCCAAGCAGGGGCTGCCCGAGGAGTTTGGTAACTATGGATTTCCCCTCTTACAATCTTTGGCCCAGCGTTGAAGATGAAGACCTGGAGGTTGGGCCCTGTCCCTAGCAGCCAATCCCTATCCCTATGTCATCCCTTCCCCACTCACCACCTAGTAAGGTCATGTGCTTCCACCCCTGGTCGGATGTGACGCTGCCACTCATGTCAGTACCCGAGATCCGAGCTGTCGTGGATGCATGGGCCTCAGTCACAGAAGAGCTGGGTGCCCAGTACCCTTGGGTGCAGGTCTGTGAGGTTCCCCCTTGCCCTGGGAAGTCAGGGAGGGGGGGTGCAACTTTGGCTCAGGGGAGTAGCATTCCTGTTTCCATAGGGTGTGGTCAGGAGGGGTTGACTTGATGGCTTTTTGACTATTATATCTTTTCACCTCTACGAATAGATCTTTGAAAACAAAGGAGCCATGATGGGCTGTTCTAACCCCCACCCCCACTGCCAGGTAAGTGTGTCAAGGGTTATAATGGCTTTCTTGGAGGAGTCCAAGCCAGCACTATTGGCTGGGGAACTAGATTAAGTAATGGGACAAAAGAAATACACCAGTAATGTGGAAACTTAGAGGTGAAGGACTTGCCTGCTCTTCTATGTTCTTGCCCCTTGACAGGTGTGGGCCAGCAGTTTCCTGCCAGATATTGCCCAGCGTGAAGAGCGGTCCCAGCAGGCCTATCACAGGCAGTATGGAGAGCCTCTACTACTGGAGTATGGCCACCAGGAGCTCCTTAGGAAGGTGAGAGAAAGCCAGGCCCTGTGCCCCCAGGGAGTCTCTAGCTTGCTTTCTTCTTTTTTGTGTTTTAGGTCTTTTTGAGAAAGGTATCCCTAGCTGGCCTGGTACTCACTATGTAGACCAGGCTGGCCTCCATTTCACAGAGATCCACTTGCCTCTCTCCCTCCCAAGTGCTGGAAATAAAGGCATGTGCCACCATGCCTGGCTGAAGTCTCTAGCTTTCTTACCCCTAAAGAGAACTCTGTGAAGATGGATAGGACACTAGCAGTCATCTATGTTGGCTTAAGCTACAGTGGTAGAGAGAGTCCACCAGACTCTTTTTTTTCCTTCTTCCCCTGATATTTGCTATATCATCCTCCTGCACCCCAACCACCTTTTTTTTTTCCCTAACTACCCTTTAAAAAAATATTTTATTTACTATTTTTATTTTTTATGTATATGAGTATATTGTCTGCATGTATGTAAATGCACCTGTGTCATGTAGTGCCTGTGGAGGTCAGAAGAGGGCACTGGATCTCTTGGAAGTAGAGTTACAGATGGTTGATAGCTGTCATGTGGGTGCTGGGAACCTAACCCAGGTCCTCTGTAAGAGCAGCCAGTACTCTTAACTGCTGAGCCATCTCTCCAGTCCCCCAACTATGTTTTTTTAAACCTCATTTCCATTCTGTGTGTCCAGGAACGTCTGGTCCTAACCAGTGAGCACTGGCTAGTGCTGGTCCCCTTCTGGGCAATGTGGCCATTCCAGACACTACTGCTACCCCGGCGGCATGTGCGGAGGCTGCCTGAGCTGACACCTGCTGAACGTGATGGTGAGGCTCCTAGCTTGGACCCTGGAGCTGGGTGCTGGATGGAATGGCTCTGATAGAACCAGCACCTAGTTCCCAGGCTGAAAGTCAGACTCTGATTCCAGATCTAGCCTCCATCATGAAGAAGCTCTTGACCAAGTATGACAACCTATTTGAGACATCCTTTCCCTACTCCATGGGCTGGCATGGTAAGGCTTTTGATATTGGTGTAACCCCAGCACTATTTTGGGGCTCTCAGCTCAGGGAGCTACAGTCTCCATCAGGCATTGAAACATTTGGTGGGGAAGTGTCCAGAGCAGGAGTGCTGGGACTGAAGGTGGACAGCAAACTAGGTAAAACTGTCACCACAGTGCTCCTTAATCCTGGGCTCTTCCTTGGTGGAGAGTACTGGGAGATGTAGTGTTCAGATGCCTAGCCTAGTTTGGGGAGGGGCTTGACTGAAGACCTGAGAAAGGGCTTTTCTTTCTTTCTTTCCTTCTTTCTATTTACATACATATATGTGTATGTATATATATATAGATATATATATATATAATATATATATTTATTTAATGTGTATTGCCTGCATGTATGTAAGTGGACTTGTGTTGTGCAATGCCCATGGAGGTCAGAAGAGGGCATTGGATCCCCTGGAACTGGAGTTATGGGTGGTTCTTAATCGCCATGTGGGTGCTGGGAATCCAACCTGGGTCCTCTGCAAGAGCAGCCAGCACTCTTAACCACTGAGCCGTCTCGCCAGCCCTGAGAAAGGACTTTTCATACTATCTCTGGCTTCTTCTTGTTAGGGGCTCCCACAGGAGTAGAGGCCGGAACTGCCTGTGACCATTGGCAGTTGCATGCTCATTACTACCCTCCTCTCCTGCGCTCTGCTACTGTTCGGAAATTCATGGTTGGCTATGAAATGCTTGCCCAGGCTCAGCGAGACCTCACCCCTGAACAGGTCAGGATTCAAGGGCATCCTGGGTCTTCAGGTCTCCTTATTTCTCCCTATTCCTTCAAGAGATCCCACCAATTATGACCCTAAGAATCCTCAGAAAAACTGAAGCATTTCTAAGGACTCACTTGCTGCTCACCTCCATCCTCTAGTGACTCCAGCAATCCTTGTCATCAGTCTCCCAATCCCATGGGCCTGCCTTCGGTATCTCTGGGGTACTCAGAACTCCATACCACCATTCTGGATGCCTGTTACTGTCCCTGATTGTCCCTTGTCCCCCTTCTAGGCTGCAGAAAGACTAAGGGCACTTCCTGAAGTGCATTATTGCCTGGCACAGAGAGACAAGGAAGCAGCAGCCATCGCCTGATCGTGATGACAGCATAGCCTTTGAATCCTTTGGCCTAAGAGAACTGGGGCAGATGTGACATCAATAAAACTGCATCTCAAACTTTAACATGTTTTCTGACTCCAGAGTGTGAACTCTTAACATTCAGGGATTTAAGGGTAAAGGCTAAGTGTAATTAAGACTACTTATTCTTGCCTACAGAAGTGCAAAAATTTGATGTAAAAATTCCCTCCCAAGCCAGACATGGTGGTGCATGCCTGTAATTCTACCACATGGAGGCTGAGGTAGAAGGACTGTGAATTTGAGGCCAGCCTGGGGTACTTAAGACCCTGTGTCTAAAACTAAAACCAAGCTGAGCTCAGTGGCATAGGCCTGTAACCCCAGCTACTCTGGAGGCTAAGGCAGAAAAATTTGCAAGTTCAAGGGCAGCCTTGACAGCCTAGTAAGATTGTCTCAAAACAAAAGGTACAAAGAGGGCTGGGGAAATAACTCAAATATTTAGATAGAGTGGCTCTCTGATATGTGAGGCCCTAGATCAATCCCCAGTATGTTAAAAAAAAGAAATTCAACCTCAAATCTCTGAACACAATATTCAATATTAGGGCTATGGATTCTCTTACTTGTGATACAAACATTCTAGTTTAAAAGGGTGTTTTAAAATCCTGTGTTCTTAGCTGTGGTTATGTCTTTGGGAAGGCCAAAGCCTTGTTTGTCACTGAGCCTGGTGTCAGCTCACCAGGCTGGAGATCAAAGTTTATGGGGAGAGGGTAAGCAGAATCCTGGTTCCAGTGGTCAGTGGTTAGACCCTGGGCTGTTGGCCAGAACCCTGGCTTTGTGAGTGGCTACAGCTTGACTCTGTTCCAGCCCACAGGGGCTAAAGGGGCGGACTGGGAGTGTGCATGTGGCTTTGTGTCCTTGGCTTTCTCAGACTCCCACGTGCAGAGTATGTAGCTCTAGTATCCTATGCTACAATTGCACAGGGCAGAAAACAGTGCTAGGCAGGGAAGAGATAGCTAGAGGTAGCCCCAGGGCCTAGAATAACTCCGAGTCTACCCACTCCTCTCTGGATCTGTTTTCCCTGTGATAGTGGAGGAACAACAGGTTGTGATTCAGGAGACCAGATGCTACATGATGTCCCCCAAGTTTTAAGGTGAAGGTGTGGGTTGTGAGTAACAGAAGACAGCCAGAATGCTTTTGATATATTCTTTCCCCAGGGGAACTGAGTGTTAGGGTTGGGACAAGCCTGAACCTGACCTAAAAGAACCCTGGTTGCCCTGCCTTCCAGTCTAGGGTTGGTTTTCTTGACATCTTGGAGGGCAGGTGCCTGTGATTTGAGAATATTGCTTGGGTCTAGAAGAATGGACAAGTAACCATCTCCCTTGAGGATCTCTGGGTTGGTACCTGGTTTCCTAGGGCATACACAAACACCCCCTAACTTAGTGCCTTTTTGCATTTGGAATCAGCTGGAGAGTTTAAGAAAGAATAGTGGTGTCTGGTGCAGCACGCAGAGGTGCAGAGATTCTGATTTAACTGGTACAGGATGGGACCTGGTTGTTATAAAAGCACAATATTTACAAAAGTTTGAGAACTATACCAACTCTTCTCCTTCCCTATCTTATCTGGAGTCAGGGGCACCTTCAACTAATCCAGTCACCTGCCCAGTGGTTCCATAGCCCTGAACTTGAGGCTTTGTTTGTGGACAGCCGAGAGGGGAAAGGCCTAAGCACTTTCAGTCCTGTGGTCCCAGGGAGGACAGGCCTGGTCCAGAGTGCCTAGGAATGCAGCTTCAGGATCTGTACTCCTACAATCCTACTCTGGCACCCTCTTCTCCCTCTCGGACGGGACAGGAAGTGTCCAGAGGAGGTGGGGGTGGAAGTGATTGGCAGTTGGAGGCGCCAATGGGCCGAGAGCCCCCCCCCCCGTTTAACCTCTCCCCTTCCATTGGCGACTGGACGGAGCCGCCCCCACCGTGGGTGCCCGAGGCGGGAGGGAGAAGAGACCCAGGCAGAAGGCGAGGGCGGAGGGCGCTGGCGGCTGTTGCCGCTGAAGGTGAGGCCTGCCGGGGCGGGCGGTGTTGACTCCCAAGTCTTGCCAAGAGGAGGCGGGGCAGGGTGGTGTATAATCCAAGGGCCCGGAGTGACTGATGGACTGCTGGTGTGTCTGTGTGTGACGATTGTCAGCGTGTATCCGTACCCGGTGTCATTTGGTGCAACCGTCAGCTAATGTGACTGCGTGTGAGCGTGTGCTGGTCTGCATGCGCCTGAGCAGTGATGGGAATGTGAGATTAATGGGCCGGTTTTAGTGAGATATGGTTGTATGTTTGTGTGTGTGAGAGGGAATGTTTAGGAAAGGTCTCTGTGGGGGTCTGCCAGTGTGAGAGTGATTTTTGTGTAGCAATGTGTGACTTCAGAAGTAGGGTAAGGGTGAGACTTGTGACTATGTGTGTGTTCTGTGTCCTAACCTAGGCCATAGGGGAAGGTAGTTGTGTTAATGTATTCTGGGACTGGTTTGATTATTGAGGGAGACTAACTTTTCTACTTAGACTGCAGCAAGACAGATCCATCCCCAACCCACATGGCTGCCTTTATTCCTTTGCTCAAGAGCTGATGGGGCTGAGGATGTAGCTCCGTGATAGAGTGGTTGTCTCGCATGAGCCAGGGCCTGGGTTCCATCTACAACACTGCCCCCACCCCCCAAAAAAAGTAACATAGCTACTCTTATTTTGTTTGAGACAGGGCCGCATGTATCTCAAGCCTCTGGATTGCTTGGATTATAGGCATGGTCACACATCTGTTTTTATGTGTTGCTGGGCATCAAACGAGGGCATTGTGTATGCTAGGCAAGCACTCCTCCAACTGAGCTGGATCTCTAGGCTCCTGGTCTGCTGCTCTTTATTTTCTCTGTTTTGGTGTCTGACTCAGTTTCTTTGAATTTCTCTGACCCTACGGTTATCTTCCTGGAGATATTTCTATGTCTCCTGACTGCTTTTTCTCCCAGGTGTCTCTATTTCTGCTCTTCTAGTTCTGCTCCACCCCTCATCCCTGCATCCCAACCCCCAGCTCTACTGTACATCTGCTGAACTTCCCTGTTTACCCCTGTGTCTGGCCACCTGAGGGCTTGCAACAGTGGTGTGATGTTGATCTGTGATTGCTCAGAGCACCTGTGAGCACCTCATGTTGAAGTGTTGTTTTAGGGAGTACTGTGACACTTGTCCATCCCCCAGCCCTGGCGGTAAAGTGTAGGTGTCAGTGTGATTGTGAGTATACTGAGATGTGTAAATATGTTTGAGTGTGTCAAGTGTGTCTGTGTCTAAGACCATGCTGCACCTGAGGAAAGTTATTGTCCTATGTATCTGGCACCAAGGGACCAAAGGCATTTCCTGGTGTTGGGGCCTAAAGGGTAGAGGGGTTGTTAGAAATGGATGGAACTTCCAGGGAAGGGGGACCTGGACTTGGGCCTTTCCTTGTATTCCCCAGCCTGAGACCTTTTTTCCCCTGGAAACAGCTGTGCCCTAAGGAAACATTTGTTAGGGAGTGGAAAGAATAGGAATGAGAGTCT